CACCACTGAAATATGAATTCGTCTCGAAAAATTTCACGAAGTCGTGTCGAAAGGACACTGACTTTGAGCCATTTTCAATCGAAAATTCAAGTTTCTCAGTGATTTTTGGCCAAAATGGCTCGGTGGCCTAGAAAACCAAAACTCGGCCACGTGTCAAAAACGGGCTCCTAGGCTGTTTTTGATATTTTTCGAGTGTTTACAGCTATTTTGAGCCACTTTCCGCCAAGAATGACCTCATGGCCTAGAAAACCAAAACTCGGCCATGTGTCCAAAATCGGTTTCTAGGTTCATTTTTAATGGATTTTCAAGATTTTTAGCTAATGTTCAACCATTTTCACTAAAAATTTCGAGTTTCTCATTTTGTTTTTCTAGGCCACTATGTTAAAATGGCCTAGAAATGTCCTGACATGACCCTCGTGTGTTTTCTAGGTCATTTTGAAGTGGTGGCCTAACTTTTGCAAGTTTGATTTTCTAGGCCACCACTTAAAAATGCCCTAGAAATCATACCAGGGTCATTTTAAGGCATTTTCAGGCCATTTTGAAGTGGTGGCCTAACTTTTGCAAGTTTGGTTTTCTAGGCCACTATGTTAAAATGGCCTAGAAATGGCCTGGCATGAAACTCCCTAACTTTTCAACGGTTTAAACAATTTTTCGACCATTTCCACAAAGATTTTTGAGTTTCCGACTGATTTTGGCTTGGTGGCCTAGAAAACCAAAACTCGGCCACGTTCATTTTTGCCCGATTTTCGTGATTTTTAGCTCATTTTTTTGATTTTCAAAGCTTATAACTAATTTAGAGTGATTTTCTAGTCAAATTTCGAGTTTTAACAGGGTTTTTCGACCAAAAAAGGCTCGGTGGCCTAGAAAACCAAAACCCGGCCACCTGTCAAAAATTTGGTCCTAGACTGATTTTTGTTCTTTTTCAAGATTTTAGAGCTATTTTGAATACACCAGTTTCATGTCAGGCCATTTCTAGGCCATTTCACCATGATGGCCTAGAGAACCAAATTTGCAAAAGTTAGGCCACCATGTCAAAATGATCTAGAAAACACATCAGGGTCATATTAGGGCCATTTCTATGCCATTTTGAAGTGGTGGCCTAGAAAGCCAAATTTGCAAAAGTTAGGCCACCATGTCAAAATAATCTAGAAAACACGCCAGATGAATTTCAGGCCATTTCTGGACCATTTTGAAGTGGTGGCCTAAAAAACCAAATTTGCAAAAGTTAGGCCACCATGTCAAAATAACCTAGAAAACACGCCAAATGAATATCAGGCCATTTCTAGGCCATTTCACCATGATGGCCTAGAGAACCAAATTTGCAAAAGTTAGGCCACCGTGTCAAAATAACCTAGAAAACACGCCAGATGAATATCAGGCCATTTCTGGACCGTTTTGAAGTGGTGGCCTAGATAACCAAACCTGCAAAAGTTAGGCCACTCACCAGGATCCCATAGCAAAATGCCGAAAAGTGCCATATTCTGAACATCTCCAAATTTCATCTCCAGCAACGGTCGATTCACATTGAAATATCGATAATTCCAGAATGGCTCAAAAATGTCTCGAATCTCATTTTTCGAAATTTTCGAATTTCCCGCCGAATAAAAGTCTTCTACAGTAGTCGCAACTGCGCCAGACGGTGAGAATAACTGTGTTGGATCGTTGAATTTCTTCGATAAAATCGATAATTCCAGAATGTTCCATTTGATTATGAAATTGTAAAAAATGGTCTTCTTATCTGCGAAATTTAAATTTCGAAATTCAAAAAACGATTTTTCGCAAAATTGAAAAACAATTTCACATCTGTCATCACTTCCACTGTGAATTCGAGAACATCCAATTTTCGATTTTTTGTGGGTTTTTGGAATACTGTAGTTCTAGAATTCTCCAGATTACTGTAGTTTTGAGAGATTTCAGATATACGGTCGAGAGTTCGAAGTTGGATGGGGTGCTGAAAATAATTGGGATTAAAGCTACTTCAAAATGGTCTAGAAATCACACCAGTTTCATGCCAGGCCATTTCTAGGCCATTTTAACATAGTGGCCTAGAAAACCAAACTTGCAAAAGTTAGACCACCACTTCAAAATGGCCTGAAAATGCCTTAAAATGACCCTGGTATGATTTCTAGGGCATATTGAAGTGGTGGCCTAGAAAACCAAATTTGTAAAAGTTAGGCCACCACTTCAAAATGGCCTAAAAATGCCTTAAAATGACCCTGGTATGATTTCTAGGGCATTTTTAAGTGGTGGCCTAGAAAATCAAACTTGCAAAAGTTAGGCCACCACTTCAAAATGACTTAGAAAACACACGAGGGTCATGTCACGTCATTTCTAAGCCATTTTAACATAGTGGCCTAAAAACCAATTTTGCAAAAGTTAGGCCACCACTTCAAAATGACTTAGAAAACACACGAAGGTCATGTCATGCCATTTCTAAGCCATTTTAACATAGAGGCCTAAAAAACCAAAAATAGAAACTCGACATTTTTAGTGAAAATGGTTGAACATTAGCTAAAAATCTTGAAAATCCATTAAAAATGAACCTAGAAACCGATTTTGGACACATGGCCGAGTTTTGGTTTTCTAGGCCATGAGGTCATTCTTGGCGGAAAGTGGCTCAAAATAGCTTTGAAACCTTGAAAATGGCGAAAACATCATTGAAGCCCGTTTTTGACACTTGGCCGAGTTTTGGTTTCCTAGGCCACCATCCCATTTTGATCGAAAATAACTCAAAACTAGTAACAAGCTTTGAAAAATTAGAAAAATGAGCCAAAAATCATGAAAATCGATCAAAAATGAACGTGACCGAGTTTTAGTTTTCTAGGCCACCGAGTCATTTTGACCAAAAATCTTTGAGAAACTTGATTCTTCGATTGAAAATGGCTCAAAACCAGTGTCCTTTCGTTCATATTGCAGTGGTGGCCTAACTTTTGCAAATTTTATTTTCTAGGCCACCACTTCAAAATGACCTAGAAAACACACCAGAGTCATCTTAGGGCATTTTTAGGCAATTTTTAAGTGGTGACCAAGAAAACCAAATTTGCAAAAGTTAAGCCACCACTTCAAAATGGCCTAAAAATGCCCTAACATGACCCTTTTTCGAAGTAGTGTCGAAATGACACACTGCTCCCAACTAACCTCAATATTCAAAATTTCATATTTTTGACAAATATTGTCCCTTGGTCCTTGGATTTCTAAAATTTTTATTATTTTTTTTCAGAATTTTCAAAAAAAATTTTTTTTTGAAATTTAAAAAAAGTTACCCGATTTTTTCATCCCAGCAGCTAGACATTTCTCCATACGGCAAGATCTACATAGTTTGTCTGGAATTGCAGTTTTTGAAATTTTCAAAAAAAAAAATTTTTTTTTCGAAAATGTATTTTTTCAAAATTTCAAAATCCCGCCTTTTCTCACCTCGCTTCAAAAAACAATTACAGTAGACTTTTTCCTTTTTCCTAAACACAAATCGTCGAAAAAATATAGCGCATGCTCGGCAGACGATTGCTCCAAAGTGATAGCTAGCCAGGGGATTGGAGCAAACTGAGCAATTAGGCATTTTCTAAATTAGTTAATTAATTTTTTTAGTAATGAAACAAGTAAAAAATTTGAAATTTTATATAGAAAAAATGAGAAGAATCGGTGGAAAATAAAGTCTAAAGGGAGTAAAAATTGAAACAGAGACGCAGAGAAAAAAGCTGATAGGGACCGGTTTTATTTACATTGGTGTCTCGAGAAATAACGAGAGAAAGAACATTTGAGAGACGTAGGTAAGAAAAAGAAGAAAAGAGGTTAATTCGAAAGGACAGATCACAATTTGGTCACAAATACCAAGTTTCTGACCATTAAACACACTTTCCAGGGCGTAAAAAAGAAGCAAAAAGAATTTGTCACCTAAAAGAATCGAACTCCTAACCTCTAGATCCATAGCCGGACCTCTTAACCACTAGGCCACGCGTGCATGGAGAGGCGGCGGCGCTTGAAGTCTCACAAGTAGTGGCGCCTTGCCGGCCGCGCGGTCGCCATGGTTTCCATACGCCTTTGTGCGCTACGTGCTTTCAATACACGCGTGGTCGAGTGGAGAAGAGGTTTGTCTATGGATCTGAAGGCCACGAGTGCGAATTTTTTTGGAACCAAATTCTTTTTTCTTCTTTTTCATGATATATTAATAGTGTAAAAACTAATCCTAGTCATTTTAAACCCCTTTTAGACTTTTATTATGACAATTTCTCCAAAAATTAAGCGATTGTAGCCAAACTGGAGGTTTTGGACACCGATGTACTCTTCCGGACAACGGTTGCAGCCGAAAACTTATTCTGAAAAAATTCCAGAAAATTTGGAAATAATAAATTAATTGCACCGTACCTTTTCCCTTTTAAAGCAACAAAATAGTGACTTAATAGCGTCTCGATAGGCTTGGGACATGATAAGACAAATGATAACATGAGATAAAACATTGACAGTTCGTAGGGTTGGAAATTGAAGGGTGATAAGGGAGATGTAGAGCCTGAAATTTTTTTTAGAAAAAAAAAATTTTTTTAACCGAAATTTTCGAAAATTCTTACACAGAATTATTTGGCATGTTTCAAAACATATTATTTCAAAATTTCAGCTTCCTAGACCTTCCAGAACGAGAGATACAGTGCTTTGAAGTTTAGGCTTGCGAGAGAAAAAGAGGGCGCANACNACNANAGCGNCTGCGCCCTCCTCTCATCGCATGCTCTCTCGCGCTACGATTCTTTAAAGAGCTGTATCTCAGCTTCTAGGACACGTAGAAGGCTGAAATTTTGAGAGAATGTGTTTTGAGATATAGCAAAATATATGTTTTGTGAAAATTCAAAAATTTGGAAAAAATTATTTTTGGATTTTTAAATACGTTTTTTTTTCAAAAATTTTGTTATATATTTCTAGTCCGAAAACGATTTTTATGGACCCGATTTTTATGAACAAAAACTCACGTCCAGTTCGTCCCTCGGGTCCATCTCATCCAATTAACCCGGTAATGTTCAATAAGTCCATGAAACCCAGAGTTCCCTTCGGATAACATAAATGTAATTGTCATAACTAACACTAATAAATTAGTATTATCCGATTTCTCACTGGCTACACTTTTTTGCCGTTTCCTTTTATATGCCGAAAGTTGACAGAGCAGGAATACAGTAAGAATTGGATATAGAATCGCCGGGAGAAATTTTAGGATAGTTTCGACAATGTCGAAATTCTCGATTAGCCAATTTGTGAGGGTTTCCGGGAACACGAGAACATGAACTTGGGTTTCGGTCTTTGGTTGCCAAGGGCAGCTGAAATAGGATTTTCAGTTATAACTAGTTAATATAGGCGAAAAATAAGCAAAAAACATTCTAAAAATAGACTTTCCAGGCTTAATAATCCTTGTCCAGTACGTAAAAAAAACGGAAAAAATGCTTCCCGCCAAAAGGAATCGAACTCACAACCTTCAGATCCATAGCCAAACTCTGTAACCATTCGGCCACGCGTGCAATGAAAGCTGTCTGCTCGCAAAGGCGTATAAAAACCATGCCGACCGCGCGGGCGGAAAGGCGCGACTATTTAGTTGCCTTCGACTTTCCATGCACGCGTGGCGTAGTTGAGAAGAGGTTTGGATATGGATCTAGGGGTCAGGGGTTCGATTCCTTTGGGTGGAAAATTCTTTTTGCGTCTTTTTTAAGCATGGGGAACGTGTTTTAAAACTTCTTGGGGCATTTTAGGTTAATTTTAGGGCATTTCAGACTATTTTTGGCTGATATTGAGTAATTTTAAGCCATTTTAGGAAAATTTTCAGTCAATTTCAAGCCAATTTTAGTTTATTTTAGGTAATTTTAAAGTCAGTTTCAGCCTATATTAAGCTAATTGAGGATATTTGATGCCAAATTCGAGTCACTTTTTGTTCATTTTAGGCCATTTTCAGCCTATTTCATAATTTCAAAAAAACTCACAATTTCGGCATGATATCTGGCAACCAAAAATAGCGATAAAACCAAGGCATATGCCAGGTATGCTCTATTAACCAAACTACAGTAATCCCAAGAATAATGAGCAATGTCCATTTAGGACTAGAGACGGTTTGGACCCGATTGCTCATGGGGAAAATGACAGAAATCGTTCGAATAAAGGACATAACAATGGCAAACCAAACGGATAATCTTTTGGTGACCTCAAATACCGTACTCCTAATTTGTCCTTCGATATAAATGGGCATCCATTTATCCTTCATACAGTAGTAGGTTACTGTATCGGGAACGATTTTTCGGGGTACTGAGGAGTCGGTATACTGTAGGTCAAAGTCATAATTACAAAGTGCCAGGTTAATTAGGTCGGAGATGCAAATTGCAATCATAAAAATGAAAATTGCATTGGAGCGTAATTGCTTTCTTGTTAAAAATATTAAGTGGAATAAATTGATAAACCAAGTGAGGACTTGTAAATTCAAATTAATTTCTACTGATAAATTATCAATTAAGTTGAAAGCTTCGTCACTTTGGTTATCTTCATAATAATTCTCATAATATTCTACCATTATATCGTAATCCTCCTGATCCTGATCAGTGAAATAGTCATTTTTGGGAATTTTCATTTTTTTTGAGTTATGGGAAGTTAAAATATTTTTTAGTCAGGTGAAAAATGTTGAGAGGAAGTGGAAAAATAAGAATCTAAAAGTTGTTTTTATACGCCCAAAAATATAATTATAGAGTAGGTTTCATGTCAAAATGCACGTGTGAATTAGGTTCTGACAAAAGAAAATTGGTCAGACTAGACACAATAATTTCTAGTTTTGAGCTTAAAGAAGCATGAAATCATGAAATTTCCACTTTTTGATTCGAAAAATATGCTAAAATCCCATGAAAATGCTCTAAAAAAGAAGCAAAAAGACTTTGACCCCCAAAAGAATCGAACTTGTGACCTTCAGATCCATAGACAGACCTCTTCTCCACTCGGCCACGCGTGCATCAGAGCGGGTAACCCCTCGCGGGCGTGAAGAAACCATGGCGAACGCGCGGGCGACAAAGCGCCACCACTTGTAGCCTTTCGAGCGCCGCCGACTGTCCATGCACATTTGGCCGAGTGGAGAAGAGGTCTGACTATGGATCAAAAGGTCAGGGGTTCGATTCTTTTGGGTGTCAAAGTCTTTTTGCTTTTGTTTTGTATTAGTTTTTCAATTCAAAAGTCCAATTTACAAGCAAAATTTCCAAAAAAAGTTCAAAAATGATGCTGGTGTCTTCTGGTTCGTTTCTTCTTCTTCTCCATGGGACAATGCGAATGATGATGACAATATTTATCGGGTACATGTGTTCCATAAGTTCTCAATTTCTTCAAATCTCGATGTTTGAATGGTCGATGATGTTTTTCGGAAGTCTTCACCACCCAGAAATCGTCGTCTTCTGTGCCACCCTGGAATTTGGATTTTCTGAGATTTTTAGATTTTCTAGAAGATTTTAAACCCCAAAATATGAAAATTCAGGTGGTTTTACCTCAGATTTCGAAATTTTTAAAATTTCAAAAAAACATTTTTTTTGAACTTCCGAACTTTTTTTTATTTCCCAAAAATCCCCACCTGCGCAACATTGATTTGTTTAAAATTCAAATGTGTCGAATTATAAATTCGCATAATTCCAAAACCGTAATCCGTCGAACGGACCGCACTCCATGGTGGTGGATGCTCGACGAACACGTCGGTGTTCTCACGGCAACCCTGGAAGAGAACAGTTTGGTAATGGTGGCCTAGAAAACCAAAAGCTGAAAAAAATAGGTCACTTGGAGCAAAAATGGGTTCAAACGGCTAAGTTAGAGTTGAGATATGATGATTTGAAGTTGGTGGCCTAGAAAACCAAAAAGCTGGAAACCTCGGCCACAGTTGATTTCAATATGCTTCTCTTGACTTTAAAAATAAAATGATACTTTTAAAATACTAAAACCTTCATTTTAAGTCAAGTTACAGCCATTTGAAGTTGGTGGCCTAGAAAACCAAAACTCGGCCACCAAAACTTAAGTAGATCAAAAATCTTTCTTATATCCTGAGAAGTCTTTTGGTGGCGTTCTCACTTAATTTGGACTATTTTTAAGCGAGTTACATTCAAAATGACGTAGAAAAACCTCTTCCATCGACTTACTGCCGATCCAGTAATGATATGAACAGGTGCCGGTGGATTGGTATACGGTAGATGTGTCCCATTGTAAACAGTTCGATTGTAAACTGGCCATAATCTCTCATAACTGTGTTCATGTGCCCATAATTCAATATCCACTCCATATTCATAGAATAGCTTCTCTAGACCATATCCATGTGTTAATGGTAGACCTGTACGAATCTGTAAGGGTGCGGGGCTTATTTTTGAATTTTTAATTTTTCTTACAATTGATTCGTATTTTGTGCAATCGTCTCCATCGAAGTCTGAGCAATACATTGGTCGATGTCCCATTGTGATCATCCATGGAACATTTTTACGGTTTTCATTGGCTTTCTGAATCAAAAAAGGGGTCTTGAACTAGTTTTCCAGATGTAAAAATGAAGCAAAAAGGATTTGCCACCTAAAGGAATCGAACCCGTGGCCTTCAGATCCATAGACTGATCTCTTATCCACTAGGCCATGCGCGCATGGAGAGGTGGTGGCTCGGGAAGGCGTATAGAAACCGAGGCAAACGCACGGGCGACATGGTGCAACTACTGGTAAGTCTTCGGGCGCCACCGACTCCTCATGCACATTTGGCCGAGTGGATAAGAGATCAGACTATGAATCTGAAGGTCAGGGGTTCGATTACTTTGGGTGGCCAATGTTTTTTTTTTCTTTTTTTTTTCTACTAATAAGATGTTTAAAATCTTTTTGGAGGCATTTTTAGACAATTTCCTGGATATTTTTAGATTTCTAGGCCATCATGAGAATCCTAGGCTCCATTACATGCCTTTAAATCTTCAATAAGCCAGTCAAACTGATGTTTTATCTGATGAAAACCCCATTGTGTCCAGAAATAGAATTCCGTGGAGGACACCACAAAGTGGGCGTGGCCTAAGTCGTAGCTGAAAAATTCAAAATTTAGGTTTCTCTGCACTCTCTCACACTCTCTTTATTAGAAAAATAGTGCATGAAAATGAGAGATTTTAGAGAAATTCGCAAAAATTCAAAAAATCGATACCTATAAAAAAGGTTATGATCCGAATTGGGCATTGTGAATCGATTGACAAAATGTGTGAAATTATTAAAGTATTCGTGATTTCCAACGGTTGCCATATACGGTATGTACGCACTGATTGGCTCGATTTGTCGCAAAAACTCGTCCCCCGTTTCGCCGTTCGATTCGTCCATGTTATAGGCGAAGTCACCTGAATTTAAGGGACTAGAAGTGCAGAATTTGGAAAATCAGGCCACCAAATTATTTAAAATGAAACGCGTTAACGACTGGCTTTTTTAAAATCAAAATTGGTCGAATTGGAACAAAGTTGTGGGCGTTGAAAGTTGGTGGCCGAGAAAACCAAATTTGGCGAAAACTAGGCCATCTAACTACATTATGATGAATTTAGAATGTTTCACTTGTTTGAACAAACACAGTGATGTTTTTAAAATTCCAAAAACTCCATTTTGAACCAAGTTACAGTCATTTGAAGTCGGCGGCCTAGAAAACCAAAACTCGGCTACCAAAACTTGAGTAAGTCAAACATGTTTTTGATACTCTGAGAAGTCGTTTGGTAGTATTTTCACTCAACTTGGACTATTTTCAGCCGAGTTATAGCGATTTCAAGGAGTTGGCCTAGAAAACCAAAATCAGCAAAAACTAGGCCACCAAATTACAAGATGAAAATTCCAGAATGTTTCATTTGTTTTGAGAAACACATTGACTTTTTCAAAATTCCAAGATATTGATTTTGAACCAAGTTACAGTCACTTGAAGTTGGTGGCCTAGAAAACCAAAACTCGGCCACCAAAATTTAAGTAGGTCAAAAATGTTTGTTATACTTTGAGAAGTCTTGTGGTGGTATTTTCACTTAATTTGAATGATTTTCAACAAAGTTATGACCAATTTTTTGAAAAAAGTCCTATTTGATGGCCTAGAATTCTATTAGGGGGGAAACTAGTCCACCAAAATACTTATCAACATGCAATACCATATCCAGTTCTCCTCTATGTGCCATTTTTTGAATTGTCCCTAGGCTCCGCCCATTTTCAACACCCAAATCTCCATAAACCGCATAAATATATCCACCACCATCATTTTCTCGTTCTTTTAATGCTGTGAAAAAGTAGATTGGACTCCAACCGTGCTCCGAACCAACATGGTAGTCTGAAAATTTTTGATTTTCTGAAAATTTGAAAAATTTCAGACATTTTAAGATAAAAATCATGAAAATCGGATGAAAAAAAAGGAAGTTATGGGAATTTGAAAAATTCCAAAAGTTGAAAATTGTTGAAATTTTCGAAAAAATCAAAATTTCCCAAATATGGTCATGTTTATACTCATTCGAGCCGTCTTGATATTTTAAATTCTAATATTTAAATTTTAAAGGTCTTGACTCAAAAATAAAGGGATTACGGTACTTTAAAAAAATGGATTTTTGAAAAAAATTGACTTTTTTTTTTCAAAAAATCATAACTTCCTTCATTTTCAACCAATTTTTTGATTTTGGGCTTAAAATGTTTGGAATTTTTTAAGTGTTCAGATTTAAAGAAAAAATTTTAGTTTGAACATCAAATTCTGATACAAAAAACATTTGAAAACTAGCTTTTTGAAAACCAAAAAACACTAGAAATCATCCCAACTTGGTCCATTTTTGCTCAATTTTCTCAGTTTTTGGCTTGAATTTTTTCAAAGTTTTCTGGAAAATTCAAAAATTTTAAACAAAATCATTTTCTCAAAGTTCTAAACTGTAGAACCTGAAAATTAAACAAAGAGCCAAAAAATGTTTTTTTTTGAATATTGAAAAATGTTTTAACCCATGTAACTTTCTTAATTTTCATCCGCTTTTCATAATTTTTGTATCAAATTGTTTGAAATTTCATGAATTTACAGATTTGTGAAAAACAATTTTCAAAAAAAAAATCTTTGCTAAAAATCAAAATAGCGATGATTTTTGAAAAAAAATCCCATTTTTCATCAAAAAGTCAATTTTCAAACTACTGTATTACGTTCATTTTTGTGTCAAGACTCTTAAAATTTAAAATGTTCAATTTAAAATTTCGAGAAAATTCGAATGAGTATAAAAATGACAATATTTGGAAAATTTTGATTTTTTCGAAAATTTTGAAAATTTCAATTTTTAGAAAAAATTTCAACTTTCTATAAATATCTTAATTTTCATCCGATTTTTATGTTTTTTGGCTCAAAATGATCCCAATTTTTTGGATTTTCAGATTATGAAAATTTTAAAAACTAACAATAAGTTTGTCCGGGTACCAGAGCCGTCAAATTGGCTCGATGGATATATCTCCACACACTATTCTTATTTCGATCCAAGAAAACGGAACATCGTCCCAAAACTGATTGATTCAGAAATTTCCAATCACTACCGTACTCCACAATAGACTGTAATGTATCATCGAATGTTTGCCACGTCACAAATGAAACCGATGGGTCTCCTCCATAGGAAATACGAATTTGCTCGGGTTGACCGTAAGATGGACCGATGTTTCCATCATTTTTCAATTTCCAATCAGGAAGTCGATCGATTGGCAGGTATTGATGGGTCCAACAGATTTGGGGTATTAGAAAATATTCTAGGAAATATAGAAAAATCCTCATTTTTTTAAAAATTTTAGAGGGAAGGAAAGTTATAGACGGTTTGGTCAATAAGACGGGGAATGAAGAGGGGGGTCAGCTGATAATGATAAGAAAAATCAAGTGATAAGATTACATTTATATAGTTATTTGAGAGCAAACATTCAATTTGAAAAAAATGGGAAAAAAATCTTCTTTTTTTTTAAATTTTTCAGATTTTTTTCCTGATCATAAAATTCAATCAGTGGTTATCAGAATAAAATGTGTTTGGAAAATAGACGTTTGATGTTGTTTGTTGAAATCTATTACCTCCAAAAATCAGGAAATTTCTGAAATTGAACAAAAACTAACCGAGATATGACGTTTTTTGTAAAACATATCCAAAAATTTTCGAATATTCTACAGTAACCCGACCGAACTTGGGCCAAATTTATTGAAACCTAAATTGTAAGATTCTTCAAGTCAAGACGGTTAAAATGAGTATAAACATGAGTAGTTTTGAACTATTTTCGATTTTTGGGTGCAAATTCGCTCCACCGAAACTTTTGAAATTTTCTAGAAAACAGTGCATATTTATATTCATTTTAATATTCAAATTCTGAAAATTCCAAAAATCAAAACATTTCCGAAATTGAACGAAAACTGACTGAGATATGACCATTTTTATGAAATATCGTCAACATTTTCAAAGATTCTACAGTAACCCAACCAAACTTGAGCCAATTTTTTTGAAACTCAATTTTTCAAATTTTTCAAGCTTAGACGGTCACAATGAGTTTAAACATGGCTATTTCTGAACAATTTTCGATTTTATGGTGTAAATTCGCTCTACCGAAATTTTTCGAAATTTCAAGGAAACAAGCCATAATCATATTCATTTTGAAGCTCTGGTTATTAGAATTTCAAAAAACAAAAAGTTTCAAAATTGAACAAAACTATCCGAGCTATGACCATTTTTGTGAATTATTGTTACCATTTTCAAAGATCCTACAGTAACCCGGCCAAACTTGAGCCAAATCCATTGAAAATCAATTTTTCAGATTTTACAAGTCTAGACGGTCAAAATGAGTACAAACATGACCAGTTTTGAAGAATTTTAATTTTCTTGGTGCAAATTCGCTCTACTGAATATTTCGTAATTTTTAAGGAAACAGGGCATATTCATATTCATTTTGAAGGTCTGTTCATGGGAAGTTCAAACATTTAATTTTCAAAACTCGTAGGAAAATAATTATCAGGCTACGGTTGTTTTTCAAAGAAAAATTTGAAGAAAAAACAATAAAAAATCTTGCAAACTTTTTTTTCCTACTTTGTACTTTTTTGCACCTAAATTTGAAATTTCTAAAAAATTAATTTTTTAAAAAATTTTTCATTTATAAACATTTTTTCCATTTTCACGTTTTTAACAAATATTCTAAAAATTCAATTTTCAAATTTCCCGCGTGAACTTTTTCTATTTTTCCCCCGAAATTCTGTAATTCAGCAATCACTGAACACGTATTTTGCCAACTCCAAAAACGGTAAAAGTTTGAAAAATCGCTAAAAACCTTCAGAAATTTAAAAAATCAGTTTTCCATTACCATAAGATAAAAATGGATATTCGAGAGATAACGGAGAAATTGACAATTGTCAATGTCACATCTATGACGGTTTGTCAGTTTTTGAAAAAAACAAAAAATTCTAAAAATTTCCTATTTTTTAAGCCAAAAAATGAAGAAATTGGTTGAAAACTAGAAAAATTGTGGTTTTCTGAACAAAAACTACCGTAACCCAAATTATATTATTCTAGAAAACTTGAAAATTAAAATTTTGAAATTTGCATAACTAGAGCTTTGAAATGAATATAAACATGCCCTGTTTGCTTCAATTTTTGGAAAGTTTCGATAGAGCGAATTTGCACCGAAAAATTAAAAATTGTTCAAAACTAGTCATGTTTATACTCATTTTGACCGTTCGAACTTGAAGAATCTGAAAATTTAAGTTTCAAAAAAATTGGTTCAAATTTGGCTGGGTTACTGTAGAATCTTTGGAAAATGCTGACTATTTTTCACAAAAAGGGTCATATCTCAGTCAAGTTTTGTTCAATTTCGGAAATTTTTTGATTTTTGAAATTCACATGACCAGAGCTTCAAAATAATAATAAAGATTCCTTGTTTCCATAAAAATTGCAAAAATTTCGGTAGAGCGAATTTGCTTCAAAAAATGAAACTTGTTTAAAACTAGCCATGATTATACTTATTTTGACTGTCTAAACTTGAAAAATCTGTAAATTTAAATTTTAAGAACTTTGGCTCAAATTTTGCCGGGTTACTGTAGAATCTTTGAAAAATTCGGATGATATTTTAGAAATAGGGTCATATCTCAGTTAGTTTTCGTTCAATTTTCAAAATTTTTATTTTTTGAGATTCTCAGATTCAGAAAAGTTCAAATAATAATAATTTATATCAATGGAGCGAATTTGCAGAGTGAGTCAGTAGCGGAATACGAGCACGACGTGGATGAATACGTTCGTCTTTTGGAGAATCAATTGGAAATCGAAATGGAGAGAAAACGGCAGATGAGCAATCGAATTGGCTTGGTTGAATGTCAAATTTCGGAACTTTGGGACCGAGTTGATAAGGCGAGACGCAGAGAAACAGACGTTTCGAATCGAGTCACTGCATGGGCACTACATCTCACTCAACTTATGAATGAGGTGCGATTTTTAGTATATTCTAGAAAAAATTGGGACATTTTAAGACAAAATTCATGAAAATCGGTTGGGAATGAATGTAAAAATGTTCTCAAATATGCTCATTTTTCACCTAGGAACTTGATTTTCAGTTCATACAGCTAAACAAAGAAGCAAAAAGAGTTTGACGTCAAAAAGAATCGAACTCGCGATCTCTAGATCCAAAGTCTAGCTCCTTACCACTACACCAAGTGTGCAAGGGGGCATCGCCGACCGCTGGGTGGTTTTCTAAATACAGTGTGGAGAAAAGAGAGGGCGACCGCTGTGGTTTATAATTAGATTGACGCCGTTCTGCCTCAGTGTGCGCCATCGCGCAGTAGTTACAGCTTTGTCTTTGAGGCAAAAGGTCAAAAGTTCGATTCCTTTAGGTGGCAAAGTCTTTTTGCATTTTTGATTTGATTGGGAAACCGAGTTTTGAGTCGTTTAAAACTCAAAAAACAGTTGTTCTCGTAACTTTTTAAAACAAATTTCTGTAAAATACTCTTTAAAAACTTCAAATGTTTCCAATTTTAAGAATTAAAATTTTCAAAATTTCCAGGTAAAACAAAAACGTGCTCATCTCGGAGCAACAATGGATTCGTCGGCCAGTTTGGATGCTGAAATTCAAGAATGTCTTGATTTATTGGCTGAAAAACGGGAAATGGTTGATCGAATGAAACAGGAAATCGATTTTCGTCGTGGAATGCACAAAGTGAGTGTCTCTGGCGGCCTAAAAAATGCACAAAAAAGTTTTAGGTCATTTATTGATTTTATTGATTTTAAAAAAAATTAAAACTTTTTTCAAAAAATCAATATTTGTTGCAGAATCAATTGAAACAACTAAAGCTGGATTGTGATTATGAAGATGAGAAATTCCGCGAATGGACCAAAAAATCCGAGGAAATTGAAAAAGTGATTTTTGTGCTGAAAGAGCAGAAAAAAGTGCTCGGAGAACGGATTGAGAATGAGAAACGAATGGAACAAGAGCAGAAAAAAATGCTAGAGGATTTGGAAATTTTGATGAAAAAATCACAAGTTTCGAAAAGAAAAAATTATGGAAATCAGGCGAATTTGATTGCTTCTCTCTCTACAATCACTACCAATTCTTCTTCTTTCTGAAATCGATTATCGATTTTTCATTGAATTTTAGGCGCTATACTAGTTGGAAGGGTTCACTTTTTTTTGCGATTTTTTCACTTTTTTCGACATAAAAATGATCGCTGATTATTTCTATGATGTTTTTAAGTTGTTAGGACACAAAATTTTTTTTTTCAAAAATAGTTCTCAAAATATAATTCTCGGATTTTTTGAACCATTTTTAGTATTAATATTTTTTTGAATAGACTCAACAACAACAATTTATTTAAAACAACAAAACTTTGAAAAGTATGAAAACAAAAATTTAATTCAATGGGTATTTCTCCGAGATTTGCTTCCACAGCTCATAGAATTTCGACTCTTCGTGATACTTGAACATCCAAAGAGCCTGAAACCAGTGATCGTCCCAATTGTCTCCTCTGAGTCCACATTTGGGTTTGATTTCTTTCTTCAACTGGCTCCAAAGTGACTCAACACGTTGAGTGTGGACACCAGTGGTTGGATTCACGAAGTTGAGCGAATGATTCACCGTCTCGTGAACATATCCAAGAGCTGCCAAACCGTTATAACCTCCCCAACAATCAGTACGAATTGTGGTGCCACGAGTGACATATCGAGTAATGATCGCTTCGAGCGATGCCTGATCACGACGTCCTGTGATTTCGACGAACACCGAACGAGTGCCGTCCTGAATTCCTCCAACTAACCAGCCATCCCTCACCATTCGGCCCACATTGTGTTTCCTCTTGACAATATTTGTTTCATCAATTGGAGCCAGTTGAAGAAAGAAATCTTCCTCTTGACAATATTTGTTTCATCAATTTGCACAATGGTACCGACTCCCCCGATTTGGATGGCTGGATTGTTGAAGTTCTCGGCCATCACATCACGAATCCATTGACCCCATTGCACGCATGTGTTTGGGTCTACCTCAACATTACGTGCCATTTCCTCGACTTTCATGGAAGAGGTGACGTAGAGGAAGGAGAAAAGGAAACGCTTTTTGCGATCGCAGTGTAGACCTTCGAAAAATGTGTCTTTCAACAGGCCTACTTTGACGACAAGGCGTGAAGCTTTGCATTTTCTTTTGTAACATTCGAACTTGAATCGAATGGGTTCACCTGAATGGATTTTAATTATTTTATCGCAATTTTGTCTTTCGACTAACCACTCTCACTGATCTCATGAGTGATGCTTCTCGGTTCATGACAGTTCGGACAAGGACGATTTTTCCAGAAGAGACCTTTTGCGGCGAGATAATCGTCAAACTCGTCCTTGGTCATCGAGGCCACTTCGGGCCATCCAGAGAATAAATTGAAGCTTCTAAGGCTTAAAAGAGCAGCCTGAGCAGACATTTTGACGAACTAGTTCAACTATTTTAGGAGATGTAACTCGACTAAAACGTAAACAACAACAACAACTTTGAAATGAGCAATATACTGTTTTTAGCTTTTACCATTTTTACCTAAGCCTATTTTTTTGATGGAAAATTTTTTGTGTCCTAACAACTTAAAACATCATAGAAATAATCAGCGATCATTTTTATGTCGAAAAAAGTGAAAAAATCGCAAAAAAAGTGAACCCTTCCAACTAGTATAGCGCCGAATTTTATCCATTTACAATGTAGAAAACCCAATTATTTTCAATAAAATTCGATGTTTTTAGCTATTTTTCTTTTAAATATTTGAAATTTTGAACTTCCCGCTCGAAAACCCCTTTTGCGTCAGTCAGAATGCTAGCGCGCTTTGCGCTCTCCCTTGGCGCGTTTCTCGTTTTTCGATTTTTAAATTTATTTTTAGGCCTAAATTTGATGAATTCCACTGGTTTTTTCTTGATTTTTTCGACTTTCAAAGCTGATTGTGATCGAAAAAACGCGAGAAATTCGATTTTTTAACTTAAAATTATGTATTTCCCCTTGAAATCTTTGGAAAATCGGTTTTTTTGAATGTTCAAATTTTGTTTCAGAAAAATGAGTCGCGCGCGTCGTGGTCACGATCTGGAGACGGTGATTCATCGATTTTCAGACGATGATTTGGCGAATTTGAAGCCGAAACAAGTGTTCGCCGATAAATGGATTATTTTGAAGAAATTGAATAAACGAAATAATTCGCATTGTTATCAAGTCTGTGATAAGGCAGTGAAAAATTTTGTATGTATTGTTTTTATTGATTTTTGAAGTTCCAGAAAATATCGATTTTCGGGCCTTAAATCGATTTTTTTCAAAATGTTGATTTTTGAATTTTTCTTGAAAATATTAAAATTTCTATCCTAAAAATTGAGTTTCTAGGGTGAAAAATGCCAATTTTTCAATCAAAAAATTCAAAAAATTGGCCTAAAATATTCAGGGAGTACTGTATCTGGAGCAAGGAGTGGACAATGTGACGTCGATTCCACTACAAGTGGAATTATTGACGAAGATGTATTCAAATGGATATTCGCATCGATTCAAGTACTTATAAATTTTAATGATTTTTGGTGTAAAAAATGAGATTTTCATGGGAAATCGTGTACAAGAAAATCGGGATTTTTCGTGTTTTTATGACTTTTTTTCATTATTTTTGACCGATTTTTAACAGAAATTTCAGGCGAAAATCTCAATTTTCGACTTGAAAAGTTCCAAATATTTCGATTTTTTGGAAAAATTTCAGCTAAAATCTCGATTTTCGGTCCTTTTCAGGCGATTTTCATCGATTTTTCTGGAATTCTTCCAAAATTTATCAAACTAAAATCATGATTTTTATCCTCAAAATAGCCGAAAAATCAGTTTTTGGAGCCAAAAATCTCCCAAACATAGGATTTTAGGCCCAAAATAAAATCATGATTTTTGAGCTTAAAATAGCCAGAAAACTAGTTTTTGAATCAAAAAATCACCCAAAAATATGATTTTCAGACCCAAAAAATGTCAGAATTCGAGCCAATTTTTCAAGAAAAACTGTAATTTTTAGAGTGATTTTTATCGATTTTTCTGGAATTTTCGCTAATTTTTTCCAGAAATTTCAGCCGAAATTCTAAGCTGATTACAGACAAATTCAGCACATTTTTGGCTGAAAATATCGAAATTTGTCGTAGAAAACTCGAAAATTGCTGAAAATATCCAAAAAAAATTCATTAAAATTTACTAAAACCAGAGCTTGGAATCTTCTGAAAATCAGCTATTTTCGACTCAAAAAACAGATTTTTAGTGAAAAGGAATTGCTTAAATATATGTCAAAAATGGTATAGTTTTAAGCCTAAAAATGGCTGATAAACGCGAATTTTTGAGTTAAAAACAGGCAAAAATAGCAATTTTAGGCCAAAAAACGGCTTTTTTATTCGATAAAAATCGCTTTAAAATGAGCTAAAAATGACGAATTTCAGTTTTTTATTCGACATTTGAAGATCTAAGCTAATTTCAGACAAATTTTAGACTTAAAAAGCTGTTTTTGTTTTGGGAAAAAAATGACTCAAAATAGCCAAAATAGGTCAAAAGTAGCGATTTTAAGCCCAAAATTGCTGAAAAAAACACAAATTTCAAAGCTGGAAACAGTCAAAAATGGCTTTTTTTTTTCGAAAAAATCTCTAATTTTTCCCATTTTTCAGCCAAATTCTGGACACTGGAATAATCAATAATTCGGTCTACTGGATGATCACGCGAATTCGAGCTGGTCCAACACTGAAACAACTTTTGGAATGTTCTGGAAATCCCGGAATTATCTCCTCGAAAACTGCTTCATTCATTGCCTGTGATATTCTATCAGTTATCGAATTACTCAATTCATCTTCTCATGTTTTACGCGATTTTAATGCTGAGCAATGGAAATTTGATGTGCAGACGAGAATGTTCTATTTGGATGATATTTCTGATGTTCGTATTGATTTTTTGGGGAGAATTTTGGAACTGAAAATACTTGTCAAATTTCGGGCCGGCCCGCCAAAGCCCGAGGCCGGGCCTGGGGAAATTTTCAAGGCCCGGAAGGCCCGGTATCCAAAATTCTGTGTTTTTGAGCCAAATTTTGAGCTCTCAATATAATTTTCTCAATTTTTGTTTTTTTTTTGGATTGTTTGTCTGTTTGATCGAAAAAAAATCACATAAGGGTCCCGCCTTATGTGTTTTTTGAAATTTTCAAAACTCGTGAAATGACGGGCCCGCCGGGCTTTCGAAATTCGGGAAAAAGCCCGGCCCGTTACAAGTATGGTTTTTAGTCTCAAAAGAGCCACAAAACTAGTTTTAAAAATGACTCGGAAACTGGATTTTTAGACTCGAATTTCAACTAAAATCATGATTTTTAGCCTTGAAATAGCTGAAAAAACCTGTTTTTAGAGCCAAAAAATACTCAAAAATTAGATTTTTCATTCAAATTTTTTGAACATTTTTTCAATTTTCTTACGATGCAAAATTGATTTTTTGGCTGAAAATCATTATTTTAGTGTAATTTTTAGCTAAAAATTCAATTTTTTTGGGTGGTTTTTGGCAAATTAGTTTTCTGGCAATTTTGAAGCTAAAAATCATGATTTTTGTGTAATTTTGAGCTGAAAAATATGGTTTTTGAGTGATTTTCGGCTCAAAAACGCGATGTTTCAGAGAAAATGGCAATTTTTTGTAACTTTTTCCGCAAATTTAAGTATTTTTGAGCAAAAAAAATAAAATAAAATCACGATTTTCAACGAAAAATGAGCTAAATTTGTCTGTAATTCACTAATTTTGGACAATTCTTCAGCCATTCTTTCAGCTAAAACTGCTATTTTTGACTGTTTTTTAGCTCGAAACGAGTTTTTGAATTTCAGAATTTCAACTTTTTTCTTCTCGAAAATTATTAAAAATCTGAAACTTCTCTGAAAAATTTAAAACACCCAAAACTGCAAATTCCAATTATTTCAATTTCCGGACCAAATTTTGGAAAATTCGGCTTTTCAAGCTATCTTAGCTAAGTTTTTGCCTCAAAAAACCGATTTTCCAGCGAAATTAATCTTTGAAAAATTCTTCCGAAAATCAATAAAAATCCAAATTTTGCCGGGATTTTCAGCCATTTTTAAAGGGGGACTCCGACTAAAAATTTTTTATTGCATTAAAATGTGTTAAAATTTATCTATTTTTCAAATATTATTGCGAAAAAATTCAAAGAAAATTCGAAATCCCCGAAAAACGGCGCTGAAAAGGAAGAAAATTCAAAAAAAAGTGCCGCCGGGGGACGAGGATTTTCAGTGAGAAACCTAGGCCACGGCACCTGACAGCCTTTTTTTCAAGTCGCCGACAGTGGTTTTTTACGTTTTTTACCTGCCGGACATGAAAACCGAAAAAAAACCGGGAAATTTGCCACGTTGGAAAGGCGCCCGCTGCCGTGGCCTAGGTTTCTCGCTGAAAATCCTCGTCCCCCGGCGGCACCTTTTTTTGAATTTTCTTCCTTTTCAACGTCGTTTTTTGGGAATTTCGGATTTTTTTTGGATTTTTTCGCAATAATATTCGGAAAATAGATAACTTTTAACACATTTTAATGAAATAAAAAATTTTGGTCGGAGTCCCCCTTTAACAACTTTGAGCTTAAAATTTGAAAATTATCCGAAATTTCGAAAATCCGAAAATCCGATTTCTCGAAAAATTCCATTTTTCAGGTCGGCATGTCATCAGACAAGCGCCACCTCCTGATCGATGAGATCCATCTCAAAACGGCTCGTGAACTGAATCTCTCATGGAAGTACACGGATTGCTCATCGCTAAAATATGCTCCATGCTCATTCCTAATCAATGGCTCCCAAATGCACCAAATGACGGAATTCGATGAGTTCGAAATGCTCATTTACATTTTATACGATTTGACACGTGGCGAATTGCCATGGACCCATTTGAAGTGTCAACAGACGATGCTCGAAATGAGAAGAGACTTTCTGACGGATATTCCGAATCTGAAGGATCTAACGGATAAGAAGTCCCCGGATTATTGGTTCGCCATGTCGTACGTCGGGATTTTTTAAGGGAAAATCAGTCAAAAATAGCAATTTTAAGCCCAAAAATGACTGAAAATGGTGATTTTAAGCCCAAAAAAAGCCGTAATTTGAAAAAAAAATAGCACTTTTAAGACTAACATTTTTGAAAAATTAGTCAAAAACTGCCTTTTTTTTTTTGGAAAAATCGCCTAAAAAACGAACCAAAAAGTGAAAAAGTTTTTTTAATTCAAAAAAAAATCAAAATTTTTGAACTAGAAACAGTCAAAAATGACATTTTTAAGTCAAAAAATGGCTGAAAATAGCATTTTAAAGCCCAAAATAGTCTGAAAAAGTCAAATTTTCGAGCTTGAAACAGTCAAAAATAGCAATTTTAAGCCTAAAAATGGCTGAAAACATCATATTTTTGAGCTAAAAACTGAAAAATAGCTGAAATTTGAAGAGAGTTTCAGAAAAATTCAGCGCATGAAATCATGATTTTTGAGCTCAAAATAGCCAGAAAACTAGTTTTTGAATCAAAAAATCACCCAAAAATATGATTTTCAGCCTCAAAAAAGGTGGAAAATCTCAATTTTATACCCAAAAAATGTCAGAATTCGAGCCAATTTTTTAAGAAAAACTGTAATTTTTAGAGTGATTTTTATCGATTTTTCTGGAATTTTCGCTAATTTTTTTTCCAGAAATTTCAGCCGAAATTCTAAGTTAATTACAGACAAATTCAGCACATTTTTGGCTGAAAAATATCGAAATTTGTCGTAGAAAACTCGAAAATTGCTGAAAATATCCAAAAAATTCATTAAAATTTACTAAAACCAGAGCTTGGAATCTTCTGAAAATCAGCTATTTTCGACTCAAAAAACAGATTTTTAGGGAAAAGGAATTGCTTTAAAATATGTCGAAAATGGTAATTTTAGGTCTTAAAATGGCTGAAAAAGTCAAATTTTGACGATTGAAACTGTGAAAAGTAGCAATTTTAGGCCGAAAAATGGTTTTTTTATTCGAAAAAAATCATCGCCTCCAAATGAGCTAAAAATGACGAATTTCAGTTTTTTATTCGAAATTTGGAGATCTAAGCTAATTTCAGACAAATTTAGCTTATTTTTGGCTGAAAATCGTGATTTTTATGAATTTTTTGCACAAAAAATACTGAAAATTGAGGAAAAATTACTGTATTATTGAAAAACTCACATTTTTGAGCTAAAAAGCCGCTAGAAATAGCAATTTCAAACCTAAAACGGATGAAACTTTGAAATTTTTCTTTAAAAAAAGCCTATTTTTTTCTGAAAAATCGGCTGAAATGAGCTAAAAATCATAAATTTTCAGTGGAAATTTCGGATTTTCTCCGCCAAATTTTTAGCTTTTTTTAAGGTTATTTTCGACTCTCAAAATTAATACATTTTGAAATTAAAGTTTCCGAAAAATGCAATTTTTTCAGTCTGAACAATCTTGCTGAGCACTTAAAGACAGCTGAAAGAGTCCAAGATACACTCGAAAAACAGGCGGTTCGCGGTGGGGCGTGGTGTCCGAAAGGACCAAGAGCACCGGCTCTTCTCTCGATTGTAAGTAGCTTGAATCCTAAAAATTAAACTGAAATCATGATTTTCAGCCTCAAAATAGTCGAAAAACCAAGTTTTTTGTGCTAAAAATAACAAGAAAATCAAGATTTTTAGCTTCAAAATGGCCAGAAAACTAGTTTTTGGAGCCAAAAATCACCCAAAAATTGATTTTTAAGCTCAAACTCACACTAGAATCATGATTTTCAGCCTAAAAAGCGAAAATTTCAGATTAATTATCGCCGTCTAATTGAGGATTTTCAAAAAATCGTTCGCAACGGAAAGCCGGAATACGATATTCATTGGAGAGATGTCGCGTTGGATTGGGATAAGGACGCTGATGTGAGATTTACTAAAATTTTGGCTGAAAATGACTCTGAAATAACTGAAAATTCATTAAAATCGTCCCAAAATTACTCTGAAAAAAATTCACCAAAATTCTGAAAGTTTTAGTTCAAAAATACCAAAATTTGACCATTTTTTGGACCTGAAAATCGAGTAGGCAGCTGAAATTTTTAGATTTTTTTGTTCAGAATTTTCGGTCATTTCAGCTCAGTTAGGACCACTTTTAAAGCCATTCTAGGCCGATTTCAGATTGATTTAGGCCAATTTCAGCCCTTTTGGACAATTTTCAGGCTGAAAAATGACGAAAATGGCCTAAATTTGTTTAAAAATACTCAAAAATGAGACAACAAATTGCATAAAAATGGTCCAAAATAAGCTACAAATTGTCTAATTTCTGGTCCAAAACGACCTAAAAATGATCTGAAATGACTTACAATTGGTCTTAAATAGATCCAAAATGACCCAAACCGGCCGGAAAATGGTCCAAAAATTAGGCCATTCTAAGGACATCATTAGGCCAATTTCAAACCATTTTAGGCCAATTTTGAGGCATATAAGGCCAATTTTAGGCCATATTAGACCAATTTTGAGGCGTTTCAGACCATCTTAGGCCAATTTCAAGCCATTTAGGCCAATTTCAAGCCATTTAGGCCAATTTCAAGCCATTTTAGGTCAATTTTAGGCCATTTTAGACCGATTTTGAGGCGTTTCAGACAATTTTAGGCCAATTGAAGCCATTTTAGGCCAATTTTAGGCCATTTCCGACCGATTTTGAGGCGTTTCAGACAATTTTAGGCCAATTGAAGGCATTTCAGACAATTTCAGGCCAATTTTAAGGCATTACAGGCCAATTTTGAGGCATTTTAGGCCCGTTTTCAGGAAAATTTCAGAATTTTTGCCAAAAATGGTAAAAAATTGCTCAAAATTTTGGAAATTTTCAATTCAAAAATACCAAAATGTGATATTTTGGCTTTTAAAATTGTTTGTAATTAGCTGAAATTCTCTCTAAATATCTCTGAATTGCGATTTCGCAGGAATCCCAAATGCGCCAAATCGAAAAATTGGAATTGCTGCGAAAGAGTGAGGAGCTGGCCGAGGAATGGAAGCGTCTCGAAGCGATTCGAGAGCACTATGAAATCATGGAAGAAGACGGAGAACTGGAGAGGGAGAAGAATCGATTATCGATCGATCGATTCCTGAAAATCAAGTCGGGAGAGAGTATGACACCGGAAGAGAGTGCAGACATTGAGAAGAAATTGATGGAGTTCAAACGGAAAATCGAGTTGAATCGAGAGCTGAAACGGGCTCAAAAGTTGAAAAAGACCAAATTGATTCAGGAAATCAAAATGGAGCTGGACGATCCTGAATATGAAGGAGGTGAGGCTGTAAAAAAGTGTGAAAATGCTTGAAAAATGGTCCAAGAGGACCTAAAGTTGTGTTGAAACAAGCTGAAATAGCCCAAAAATGGTCTAAAATGCCTTAAAAACGAACTAAAATGTCTGACATTTTGCAAAAAATCGCTCAAAATATGTCTAAAAATTGTCAAAAATGACCTGAAATAGCTAAAATAGCTTAAAATTGGCGTAAAAATGTGCATAAAATGGCCCAATTTTCGGACCATTTTTTGGCCATTTTGGGTTATTTAGGGCAATATTAAGGGGACCCAAAGACCCAAAATGCCTAAAAAATGTTCTAAAATGATTTAAATCGCCCTGAAATGCCTTTAATTGGCCTGAAATTAGCCTAAAATGCGTTAAAATTAACCTGGAATGCCTTAAAATTGGCTTAAATATCCTCAAAATTGGCCTAAAATGTCTTCAATTGGCCTGAAATGGGCCTAAACTGCCTCAAAATTGGCCTGTAATGTCTTAAAAATGGCCTAAATATTCTCAAAATTGGCCTAAAATGGTCTGAAACGCCTCAAAATTGGTCTAAAATGGCCTAAAATTGGCCTAATATGCCTCAAAATTAGCCTAAAATGGCTTGAAATTGGCCTAAAATTGTCTGAAACGCCTCAAAATTGGTCCAAAATGGCCTAAAATTGGCCTAAAATGCTTCAAATATGGCCTGAAATGCCTTGAAGGTGGTCCTAACCGACCTGAAATGAACTAAAATTCTCTTAAAACAAATCTAAAAATCCTCAATTTTTTTTCAAAATTTTCAGTTTCCACGTCATCCGCCGCACCATCAACATCATCATCAGACGCCTACTCTCAACGTCTTCCTCATCTTCCGAATCTTCCAGAAGACGTTGACGACGATGACGTGGAAATTCAAAAAGACCAAAATCTTCCCGATGATTTGAAAATCGATGAAAAAGAGATAAAACAAGAGTTGCCGGATGACGAATTTGATTAAGGTACGGTATCGGTTGGTGGCCTAAAAATCCAAAAATTTGGGTTTCTGGGCCACCAACCTTGAAACTGCTGTAACTTGGCTAAAAGTTGATATTTTAAGATGTAACTGGTTTCAATAGATTTCTATCGTCTAGCTTGTCATTTTAATTATATTCGTGGCCTAGAAATCGCAGTTGATGGCCTAGAAATCTCAAAATTTGGGTTTCTAGGCTACCGATCTGAAAATGCTTGAATTTTCGATTTTTTTTTCAATTTTCAGGATCTTCTACACATCAACACCACAACTACATCGATCTGTACCATCATCTTCATGATCATTTTTTCAAAAAATATTATTTTTGAATGTTAAAATTTTTTTTTGTTATTTTTTAAATGTTTTACTGTCTTTCTTGTAATCTGTTGTTCGTTTTTTTCTTTGATTTTTGTTTTTTTTTCTTTGATTTTTGTTTTTTTTCATGATTTTTCAATGAAAATTTGCTGTTTTTGTCGTTTTTAGCTCAAAATCCATGGATTTCGTTCCCGAGTTTTTATTTCCTCTTTTCGCTGAAATGTCGTCAAGCCTTGGTCACTCGAGTACGCAAACACCGACGCCTCACTCTGCGGACTTTTGAGAGTCTACTTTCGAATTCGAAACGCTTTTCATAAGTTTTCCTTGGTTTTTTTTTGCCGATTTTTGTGATTTTTCTTGTGGAAAAATATGAAATTCAGGTTGAATTCTGTGTAGAAATAGAAATAGAGCCGAAAAAAGCATTAAAATATGTCTAAAATCGATGAAAAACGAGTTTTTCAAAAAATGATTGGGAAACTCCCAAAAAGTCGAAATTTTCGATAATTTTCCAGAGGTTTTACGTATTTTCTGGAGTTTTTTGTCAGAGAAAATAGCAAAATTATTGAAATTTAGGTCCAAAATTAGATTTTTTCGGTAAAAATTGAAATAAATTGTTTTTTTTTGGTTTTTTAAAAGAGATTCTCAAAGACAAACGCTTATCTTAACGAAGTACATTAATTCAAAAAATCGAATTTTTCCAGAAAAATTATTTTTTAATTTTTCAATTTTTTCGCCGATTTTCAGTTTCTTAAGCCAAATTTTTAATCATTTTGCACTGAAAAAAAAACCCTTGGAAAATCCTAATTTTCGCATGTTTTCCATGATTTTTCGCGCCGAAATTTGCTCAATTACGGTCTATTTTCAACTTTTTTGTGCTTAAAATCTTCCCATTTCCTAGAAATTTTTCACCAAAAATCGAAAGTTTCATCGAAAATTTGCCTATTTTCCAGGATTTTTGCTTCTTAATGTTCCAATTTTCAGCCAAAAAAAAGGTGAAATTTCCAGATTTTTCTCGATTTTTTTTGCCGATTTTAGCCAATTTTTAGCTTCGTTTTGACCTGAAATTCCCATTTTCTAGCCTTTTTTTTCGCTAAAATTCATCGAAAACCTCGATTTTCGTCTATTTTCCATGATTTTTCGCGCCGAAATTTGCTCAATTTTGGCTTATTTTCAGCCGATCATTTTTCACTAAAATTCGTCGAAAAACCTTCAATTTTCAGTCAAAAAAATTGAAAATTTCATGGAAAATTTTAGAAAAAACTTTCGAAAAATCGATTTTTTTAGTGTATGTTTTTCTTCGTTTTGACCTGATTTTGACCTGAAATTCCCATTTTCTAGCATTTTTTTTCGCTAAAATTCGTCGAAAAACCTCGATTCTTGTATATTCATGAATTTTAAGCTAAAGTCAGAGTTTTTGAGACTTTTAGAGCCAAAATCGATCATTTTTCAAAATTTTTGATTCTAAAAACGCTGAATTTCAACAATTTTAATGACTTTTGGCTCATTTTTGAGCAATTTTGAGCTCAAAAAACAATTTTTCACGATTTTTGGTTCATTTTTCACGATTTTTGGTTCATTTTTCACGATTTTTGGTCCATTTTTCACGATTTTTGGTTCATTTTTCACGATTTTTGGTCCATTTTTCACGATTTTTGGTTCATTTTTCACGATTTTTGGTCCATTTTTCACGATTTTTGGTCCATTTTTCACGATTTTTGGTCCATTTTTCATGATTTTTTTTTCACTAAAATTCACCGAAAGTTCACCTTATTTTACTTCTATCTTCCATGATTTTTCAAACTGGCATTTCATCGGAAATTCTAGAAAAAACTGTCGAAAAGTTGAATTTTTTCAGTTTTTGGACTATTTTTATGGAATTTTTAGCTTTTTTTTCATTAAAATTCATCGAAAAACCTCGATTTTTGTCTATTTTCCATGATTTTTGATCCATTTTCCCCCGAAATTTGCTCAATTTTCAGATGGCAACATCAACATCAACCAATCCGAACACCCTCTTGCCACTGGAATTAATCGATAAATGCATTGGATCGAAGATCTGGGTGATAATGAAGAATGATAAGGAAATCGTCGGCACGTTGACCGGATTCGATGATTATGTGAATATGGTGCTGGAGGACGTCGTTGAGTACGAGAATACTGCTGAAGGGAAGCGAATGACGAAGCTGGATACGATTCTTCTCAATGGAAACCATATCACCATGTTGGTGCCAGGAGGCGAGGGACCCGAGATTTGAATTCTTGGATTTTGGAGGATTTGGCGCCAAAAATCAATTTTTACTTTGCAAAATTGCACATTTTTCCAATTTTTGACTTTCTTTTTCCCGAAATTTCCCCCCCCCAAAAATCATCAATTTCTCTTTTTTTTGCAATTTTTGATTTTTTTTCCTTCGAAATTTTCCAATTTTCCCCGATTATCCCCTTCAAAAATCACCGATTTCTCTTATTTTTCAATTTTTTTTCTGCGAAAAATTCGGTCAAATTTCTTAGAAATTGCAAATTTTTTCCTCGAAATTTTGCAATTTTTCCATTTATTCCCCTCCAAAAAATCATCAAAAATCAATTTCCCAAAATTTAAGATTTCTTGAAATTTCCCCATTTTTTGTCTCTTAAAATGTTGCTATTTTTCCAGTTTCCCCTCAAGTATGAATTCGAAAAATTCGAAAAATTTTCTGGAAATTTTTTCTTTAATTTTAAGATAATTTAAGTCAATTTATGGCATTTTTGGGTCAAAATTTCACGAAAATCGGTGAAAAAGTGCAGATTTTGGGGCAGAAAATGGACATTTCCTGGTTGAAAAAGACAAAAAATCCAATTTTTCAAAAAAAAAAACTACGAAAATTCAATTTTTCTATGCCAAAGAATGAATTTTTAAAGGCATTTTTTTCGGGAAATTTGCAAAAAGTTACAAAAGTTAGTGAAAATTCCAATTTTCCGCGTCAAAAATGGAGATTTAATTACAGAAAAATGCAAATTTCAGCTCAAAAATTCTCGGGCAATCGCCGAAAAAAATGGGGGGAAAATTCAAATTTTTTGGGCCAAAAAAAAACCCGGAAATCGATGAAATGTGGATGACTTTCAGACGGAAAACTTGTTAAAAATAGAGAAATTGGAATATTTTTACCACAGAAAAATGCAAATTTTTGGTCGAACTAGTTCGGAAAAAAGGCTAAAAATGGCGGGAAATTCAAATTTACAGAGCCAGGAAATAGATTTTCAGAGAATATGAAAAAAGAGCTTTTTTTCACAGAAAAATGCAGATTTTGGAGCCGAAAATGGACATTTTAGGGTTGAAAAAAGCAAAAAAACGCGAATTTTGGGTCAAAATGTTTCAAAAAAACACAAAAAAGGTCGAATAATAACATTCAAGTAGTGAATTGTGTTCCAGCATTGGGACATTCCTTATGAAACTGCTCCAATCTCTGTCGAATAATGTCCCGTGCTTGTTCCAAAAGTCTCTCCTGTCTCTCGATGGCCTCATCCAGATGCGTCTCTTCGATTATCGATTGATTCGCGATCTCTTCCATTTCCCATTGAAGTCCCAGACGGGTGAATTCGTTGTTCACGTCGACGGACGCGTCACGGAACTGCAAATTTGAGCATTTTCGTGTCGGAATCTCCATTACTGGACCATTTTGACATGGTGGCCTAGAAAACGCAACTTGCAAAAGTTAGGCCACCATGTCAACATGGCCTAGAAAATGATTTCCGGGGCAATTTTGGGTCATTTTCAAGCATTTTAGGCCTATTGAGATAGTTTTTTATAGTTTTAAAGCCCACAGCAATTACAGACATGTTTCGAGCTCATTTCAGGCTGAAATCCGAAAAATCTAAAAAGTTTCAAATATCAGGAAATTCTGAAAAGAATCAAAAAAGAAAACAAATTTTTTTCAAGAATTCCAAAAATTCGAAAAATATGAAAATTTTGAAATATTCTAATTTTTGAAAAAATTTTAAAAATTGAAAAAATCGAAAAATTGAAATTTCGAACAATTTGAATTCCGGAGTATTTCAGGATTTTAGACCGGTTTTTAGAAAATTCCAAGTTCATTTTTAGGATTTTCAGGTGGTTTCTGACACATTTTTCACGTTTTAAAAAGCGATTTTCATGAAATTAGGCTGTTAGACTTTTTAGGCCGGATTGAGCCGCGTTTCAACTTTTTGAAAAAAATGTGAAATTTTGAGAACTTAGGCTCATTTCAAGGCTTTTCAAGCCATTTTTTCCCCACAATTTTCAGCCAAAATGCGACATTTTTATGATTTCAGGCTCATTTCAAGGCTTTTCAAGCCGTTTTTTCTCGATTTTCGGCCAAAAAAAGACGACTTACCATTGCTGGACAATTTAGACATGGTGGCCTAGAAAACCCAAATTTGCAAAAGTTAGGCCATCATGCCAGAATGACCTGGAAAACATACCAGATGAATATCAGGCCATTTCTGGACCATTTTGACATGGTGGCCTAGTAAACCCAACTTGCGAAAGTTCGGCCACCATGTCTCAAAATGGTCACACCAGATGAATATTAGGTCATTCCTAGTCCATTTTTCAATGCGGTTTTAATGAAATTAGGATCATTTTGCCCCCCAAAAAGGGTGACTAACATGTTTACTGCAAACTTCGGCGACTTCTTTAACATGATCCAGTGTGGATGGTGGTGGAACTGGCGGTTTTACAGTAACATTCGTCAGCAGTTGACACCAATGCATCATCAGAGAATCGAGGGCGTTTCCCAGTTGGGTTGGTGCCAGTGCAGACTCATCGTCCTCTTTTTTCTGCAAAAAAAATGAGGAATTTTTGGGGGAAAATCATGGAAAATAATACTGAAAATTCCCCTTAAAATCGGCTAAAAATTGCTGAAATGTTTGAAATTTTTTTTTTCAAAAAATCCGAAATTCTGGAAAACATCGAAATTTTCAAAAAAAAATTTCAAAAATCCAAAAATTCCGAATTTCGAAAAATCGGAAACTTCTAAAATTTGAGAAACTTCTAAAATTTCCGAAAATCGACTTTTCGAAAAAAAATTTCGAAAAACCCAAAATTTCAAAAAAAAAAATTCAAAAAATCGGAAATTTCTAAATTTCTGAAAATTCTGAAAATTCCGAAAATTATCGAAAAATCCAACATTTTCAAAAATCTGGAAAATTCCGTAAAATTCCAAAACCCTGAAACTCGGAAATTTCTAAAATTTCGAAATCCCAAAAATATGGAAAAATCTAAAAAAATCGGGAATTTCTAAATTTCTGAAAAAATTGTAATTTTCAAAAAATTCTGAAAATCAAAAAATTCGACGAAAAAAATTAGAAACTTCCAAAAATCGAAATTTTCAAAAAAAATTCCCAAAATTCGAAAAATTCTAAAATTCCAAATTTTTTTTCAAAAATCTGAAAAATCCGAAAGTTCAAAAAATTCCAAATACCGAAATTTTAAAAAAATCTGAGAAATTCCGAAAATTTTCAAAAATTCAAAAAATTCCGAAAAATCCAACATTTTCAAAAAATCGGAAATTTCTAAATTTCAAAAAATAAAAAAGAAAAGAATAAAAAAGATGAAAAAGATATAAAAGATAAAATAGAAAAGATAAAAAAGAATAAAAAAAAAGAAATTTTGAAATTTTTTTTCAAAAAATCCGAAATTCTGGAATTCTGGAAAACGTCGAAATTTTCAAAAAAAAATCCAAAAATTCCGAATTTCGAAAATTCGGAAACTTCTAAAATTGGAGAATTCCGAAAATCGGCTTTTCAAAAAAAGTTCGGAAAATCAAAATTTTCAAAAAAACATGAGGTTTTAGAGTAATTTCTTGTTAAAAATTCTATGAAATGATGCTGAAAATTCTCAAAAAATCGGCTAAAAATTGCTGAAAAATTAGAACGTTAAAAAAAAATCAAAATTCCGAAAAATAGAAAAATCCAAAAAGTTCAAAAAATTCCAAGTATCGAAATTTTCCAATAATCTGGAAAATTCCGTAAAATTCCAAAATCCTGAAACTCGGAAATTTGTAAAATTTCGAAATCCCAAAAGTATTGAAAAATCTAAAAAAATCGGAAATTTCTAAATTTCTGAAAATTGAGCTCAATTCTAAAAATTCTCGAAATCCGAAATTCCGAAAATAAAAAAAATCGGAAATTTCTTCCCAAAAATTCTGAAAATCCAAAAATTCGACGAAAGAAATTAGAAAATTCCAAAAATCGAAATTTTCAAAAAAAATTCCCAAAATTCGAAAAATTCCAAATACCGAAATTAAAAAAAAATCTGAGAAATTCCGAAAATTTTCGAAGAATCCTAAAAATCCGAAAAATTACCACATTTCAAAAATCTGGAAATTTTCAAAAATTCTAAAAATTCCGAAAAATCCAAAATTTCAAAAAAAAAATTCAAAAAATCGGAAATTTCTAAATTTCTGAAAATTCTGAAAATCCCGAAAAATTCAAAAATTCAAAAAGTTCAAAAAATTCCAAATATCGAAATTTAAAAAAAAATCTGGGAAAATCCAGAAATTCTAGGAAAAATCGAAATTTTCAAAAAATTCTAAAAATCCAAAATTTTATTAAATCATGCATATTTTTAGGCTTTTTAGGTCATTTTTCCTCTGATTTTCAGCCGAAAATCTAAAATTTTTTTTCTAAAAAATATGCTACCTTCTCATTTTCCACGTCTTCTGAATCGCTTCTGACGATTGCTCATCATTACTTTTTTCCATTTGCTCCTCTGGTGACTTTACAGTAGGAACATCCATCGATTGCTCATCCTTCTCCGATTGAATTGGAGATTTTGAGCCAACTGGGTTCTCGTCGTCTGGAAGTGGAGCGTCGGCGAGGAAATCGTCCATATTTCCCCCTGGTGGAACGTCTGAAAATGCTTAAAATTGAGGATTTTTAGGCCTGAAAATTGGGATTTCTTGGTCAAAAATTCAATAATTTTCAGCTAAAAATCAGTGATAAATTGTGATTTTTTTGAGCAAAAAATGGGCATTTTTGAGGTCGAAATTTCGGTATTTTGAGCTAGAAAATTGAATTTTTTGATTTTTTCAGTGAAAAATGTTGAAAAATGGGAATTTTTTGGTGTAAAAATTCGGAATTTTTGAGAGAAAAACTAGCTAAAACTCAGTAAAACACTGAGAGAAATTCGCGATTTTAGCTAGAAAAATGGATTTTTCATGAGATTTTCTGGCTGAAATTGGTTGAAATTGATGATTTTTCGGCTAAAAAATGGGAATTTTCGAGCAAAATTGGGATTTTTAATAATTTTTTGATGCTTTTTTAGGTGAAAATTTGGGGAAAAAACCAAAAAATGAAGGATTTTTAGTGAAAAATCTGCGAAAAACTGAAATTTTGAAAAAAAATTTTTTACAATTTTTCGATTTTTTGATTTTCCAAGCGATATTTTCAGGTTTGCTATTCGTTTTTGATGATTTCAAAGCTGAAATTCGCTGTTTTTTGCATTTTTTTGTCGCAATTTTCAGCGAAAATGAGCAATTTTGGCTCAAAATCAAAAATTTCGAAAAATTTTCAAATTTTGCCTGATTTCCTTCGATTTTCTAGAATTTTCCAGACATTTTCAGTGCAATTTCTTCATTTTTCCACCTTCTTGCTGTCCTGGTTGCTGCTGCTGTTGTTGCTGTTCGTCACCGCCATCACCGACTTCTGCCAACTCGTCGTACATGATTTCTTGTCTGAAATCGATGAAAATCTATGAAAATCAGTCATTTTGTTTATTTTTATCACATTTACAAAGTTTAAATGGGAGAAAATGGTTAAAAACGGTCAGAAACCAAAAAAAAATGATTTCCGAAGAAATCGAATTTTCCTCGCTAAATCACACAAATTACTGACTGAAATAGGTTTCAAAACATCAAAAAATATTTTTAGTATTTATTTTTAATGAAAAACGACGAAAATTGGCCTGAAAACTACCGAAAATATGAGGAAAAGTGTGAAAATTTGTTGAAAAATCCTACAACGACACTCCGAAATCCCGCCTTGCGCGCGGTGTTTACCGTAAATCGACACAGCGAATTTTGGCGGACACACCTAATTTTTGAATCTAATTTCGGAAAAAAACGGGTTTTTGTCTAGAAAACAGTGGATTTTCAGCGAAAATTCCAGCGGAAATTCAATTTTTCGACGGAAAAATAACATTTTATTCATTTTTAAAAATACAATAAAGGCAAAAATATGCAATTTAGACACCAGAAACAGATATAAATATGACCGATAGCGAAATTAAAATTTAATTTTACAAAAAAATTATTCTTCCGGAACATTCTGGCTCTTCTTTTCCTCCTCCAATTTTTCCAAAAATTTCGCACGATCTCTTCTTTGTTGCTCAGCACTTGGAATCCGTCCAGATGGCGTTTCAGATGACGTGGAAGGACCCAGAATTGGAGTTTCAGTCAATTCAGAAGGAGCAGCGGACGTTGATGGAATATCTGAGAATTCGAAAAAAAAATTGGTGGCCGAGAAAATTGGTTTTCTAGGCCACGAGATGCAAAACTGACCATAACTCGCTTGAAAATCGTTTAAATTGAGTGAACATACCACCGAAATACTTGTTAGAGCATGACAAACATTTTTAACCTTCTTAAGTTTCAGTGGCCGTGTTTTGGTTTTCTAGGCCACCAATTTGAAATGGCTGTAACTCGCTTCAAATTTCATATTTTCGAGATTCAAAAACGTCATAATAGTCCTCGTGAATTCAGTGATCGTTTGGTCTGGAAGGCCGTGGCCTAACTTTTTCAAAAATTGGTTTTCTAGGCCACGAGATGCAAAAATGACCGTAACTCTCTTGGAAACCGTTTAAATTTAGTGAAAATACCACCAAACGACTTGTCAGGGTATGGGAAACATTTTCGACTTACTTAAGTTTTGATGGCCTAGTTTTGGATTTCTAGGTCACCAACTTCAAATGGCTATAACTCGCTTTAATATTGATATTTTCAAAATTTAAAAGCACTTTCATAATCCTCGTGAATTGATGGATCGTTTGATTTATAATTTGTATCATATGGTGGCCTAGATTTTTCAAAACTTGGTTTTCTAGGTCACTAGACACAAAATCGGTCATAACTCGCTTGAAAGTCGTTCAAATTAAGTGAAAGTAACACCAAAACACTTGTTAGAGCATAGCAAACATTTTTGACCTACTTAAGTTTCAGTGGCCGAGTTTTGGTTTTCTAGGCCGCCACTTCAAAATGACTGTAACTCACTTCAAAATCGAGATTTTTGAGATTTGAAAACGTCGTAATAATTCTTGTGAGATTGGCTTTCACCTGATTCACAATTTTTATTATATAGCGGCCTAACTTTCTCGAAATTTGGGTTTCTAGGCCAGAACTTTAAAATAGCCGTAACTCGCTTCAAAATCGAGCGTTTTGAAATTTAAAAGAACCATTATATTCCTCGTGAAACGAGTGATTGGCTGACCTAGAATATGTCAAATATGGTGGACTAGGTTTGTCGAAATTTGGGTTTCTAGTCCACGGCTTCAGAATGGACGTTGGAGGCTGTAACTTGCTCAAAAGTGCATATTTTTGAATGGGGATTTTTATAAAATGGATCCCAGAGGCTCTAAATTTGCAATTTCAAGCCAAAAAACCTACTAGGATCCTGAGAAAGGCTCATTTCGATGGCTTTTGCCAGTTGATCCTCATCACTTCCCGACGATTCGCTGGATTCTTTCGATTCCATCGACAGTGCCATGGCTATTGCCAAATCTCGATCCTCCTGGGAATCTGGAATTTCTTGGGAGCCTCCGAGTCGTCTTCCGACCGAATTGAAGAATTTTTGCACCAGATTTGGCTCTTTTTTGTCGAAGTCTGTGGGTTTTGGGACCACGGGGCAGAGGGTTATGAAGTCGTCCGCTTCGGAGTTTGGTAGGATTCCTTGGACCACGAAGATCGAGTAGTCTGGAAAGAAGAAAAAAAATTTTTTTCAAAAAAAATTTTGGTGGCCTAACTTTTTCAAACTTTGGTTTTCTAGGCCACCAGTTCAAAATGACCATAACTCGCTTCAAAATCGTTCAAATTGAGTGAAAATACCACCAAACGACTTGTTAGAGCTTAACAAACATTTCTGACCTACTTGAGTTTTGGTGGCCTAGCTTTGGTTTTCTAGGCCACCAGGCACAGATGACCATAACTCGCGTCAAAATTAAGATTTTTAAGATTTAAAAGCATCATTATAGTCCTCAGGAATTGTGGAATCGTTTGGTTTATAATACAGTGGCCTAACTTTTTCAAACTTTGGTTTTCTAGGCCACCAGTTCAAAATGACCGGAACTCGTTTGAAAATCGTTCAAACTGAGTGAAAGTACCACCAAAAGACTTGTTACAGTATGAGAAACATTTCTGACCCATTTATTTTTGGTGGCCTAGTTTTGGTTTTCTAGGCCACCATTTCAAAATGGCTGTAACTCGCTTCAAAATCGAGATTTTTGAGATATGAAAAAAAACCATTATAATCCTCGTAAACAGAGTGATCGCCTGGTTTTTTTTCGGAAAATTTTCGAAATTTTCAAAAATTAAAAAAGGTAAAAAAAAAATTTTTTTCGAAAAAAATTTTTTGAGAAATTTTCAAAAAATTCAAGATTTCCAATATTTTTGAAAATTTCAAAAAGTCAAATTTCTTACTTTCGGCGGCAAACTGATGCAAATACTCCTTGACATAGGTGTCCGTGAGCAGTTTTGGTCCATTTTTCACCGAATTCAGCTCAAACCATTGATTTCCGAATTTTCGGAGCACAAACCAGTGCTCCCGGAGGTTCAAGACGTAGGCGCGGGCGGTTCTGAAAAATTTGGTTTGGCGGGAATTTGAAAAATTTGAATTTTTTAAAAAACATTTTTTTTCAATTTTTGTTCTAAAAACATTTTCTAGATCAATTTTCGCCGAAATTTTCAATTTTAAGCTCAATTTTAACGCTAAATTTGAGTTTCTCGTTCAGAAATAGCTAAAACTTCAAGTTTTTCAGCCCTTACAACGGATTCGCCTTGAACTCTGCCATCGCCGGATTCTCCATATTTATGAGCTTCAAATCGAACGTTTCGAGCGCTTTTTCGATGACTTGAATCGAAAAAAATCCACTATCATTCATGTTTTCACTTCGGCCAACGGCGTTTGCGTTCTGAAAAAAATTTTGAAAAAATTTTTTTTTTTGGAATTTTTGAAAAAAAAACTTTTTTTTAGTTTTTTTTTTCGATTTTTCTAATTTTTTTCTAATTTTTCACCCACATTTCCCAAAATATCATGTTCCATTTGGTCCATTTGCCTCGCTAAATCCCTCAAATTCTCATAAGTGAACAAAGAATCTTGGAGAAGCATGTTCAAGGCGTGTTGAGCACAGAGAGCCGCCTGTTGACGCTCGAAAAAAATCGAAGAGATTGGATCGTCGCTGGGAGACATGTTGGGAGCTGAAAATTATTCGAAAATTTGAAAAATACGGTTTTTAAAGGAAATTATATATTTTTTTTTCATTGGAAAAATTTATTTCTAGGTTTTAAAATTTTAAAATTTCAGTTTATGCATTTATTTCCCCAAAAAATCCATCAAAAAAGCTCAAAAACGCCGAATTTTCGAATTAAAATAAGCGAAATAAAGAAAAACAACGATGCTCCGGAATCCCGTAAATTCTCTTGTGTCGATTTACGGTAAACACCGCGCGCGTTGCGGGATTTCGGAGCATCGTTGTTTGTTCTTATTCAGCGATTTTCAGCAAAATCCAGGTTTTTTTAAGGCTGAAAATGCTGAAAAAAAGGGTTTTCCAAATGAAAAATTGTGAAAAATTATCGAAAATTCGATTAAAAAGCCATGAAAATCAAATATTTCAGTCAAAATCGATTAAAAAATGGAAAAATAGCTGAAAAGTAAAATTTTCGATTTTCCAAGGTGATCGACCTGAAAATTTCGGGTTTTTAAGGTCAAAAATAAAAGGAAAACGATTAAAAAAAATGATTTTTCATTCGAAAATCACCGAAAACGTTTGAAAAATTGCGGAAATTCGATTTTTTAGAAAATTTCTGGATTTTTAAAAATTTTTAGCCAAAAAATCGATTTTTCCATTAAAAAAAAACAGAAAATCTATAAAAGAAAATGCATAAAAATGATGAGAGAAGCCGGAGAAAAACCAGCGAAAAATCCGGTTTCCTCTTATCTAAATTGTCTAATTCAAAGTCATATGATTTGTGTTTAATGGCCTAGAAAATGCGGATTTCTAGGCCATCTCAGGAAATCAGGGATTTCCTGGAAAAAATGCGAATTCCTGGGTCAAAATTTATAGGGAAAATTCGTAAAAAATAATGACTGAAAAAAATGGAAAATTTGGGGAAGATTTCAGAATTTCAAAATTTTTAAAAATATAAAACTTTTTTTGAAATTGCATAAGGAGGGGGTAAAAAATGGTGAAAAAGGCAGGGACCACGCTCCGCTTTTTTTGTTGGAAAACATGCAAAAATGAAAAATTTGGCATAAAAGTTGGGAAAAATTGAGGGGAAATTGGAAAAAAATTATTATGGAATTTGAATAAAAAATCAGAAAATTCGTGAATATTATAGAGGGCAAAATAATGCGGAAAATGGGATGTTTTTTGGGAAAATTGAATATTTTTGGTTTTTTGTCAAAATGTTGAATTTTTAAAAATCCGAATTTGGGTGAAAAAAATGTTTTTTTTTTCAAAAATTCGAAAATTCAGAAATTGTTTTTTTAATGAATTTTCATCAAAATATAAAAAAATCAATATTTTGAAAAACTTTTTTTCGAAATTTCAGTGAAAATTTACAGAAAATTACTAAAAATGTTCATAAGAATTTCTTTTTTTTTAAATTTTCGATTTTTTGAAAAATTTCAAAAATATGTCAAAAATCCCACTAAAATCGCTGGGAAGTCACCTTTTGAAATTAAAATTTTCGGAAAATTTTTTAAAATTTTGATTTTTCAAAAATTCGAATTTTCAGCAATTTTCAGCCAAAAATCTGATTTTCGAAAAATTTTTAAAAACTCAACTTTTGAAAAATTCGCTCAAATTGCTGGAAAATACTCCAAAAATTAAATTTTTGAAAAAACATTTTTCTCAACTTTTTCGAAATTTTCCGAAAAATCAATAATTTTTCCTCTGAATAATACCATAAAACGCCAAGAAGAGATAAGATGAAAATGTCGAAAAAAAGAGACAAAAAAGTTCGAAAAAGTTTAAAAATTGAATTTCCAAATGTCCGGATGTCCGCTGCTCCTCCTTCTAATCTCCGTACAAATCGATAATCGAGTCTCCTCGATATTCTTCTCCAGTCGTCGAATAAATATAGTCCTCATTGGCCGGTGGCGGGTCCAACGGCTTCATTGGTGGCATCAATCCCGATGATTCTGGAAAAAAAGATTTTTTGAGATTTCAAAAGTGGGCGGAGCCTAAACTTTTTTTTTCAAAAAAAAATCATTGTTTCGATTATTTTCAGCCATTTTTAGACTAATTTCGGCCATTTTACGACAATTTTAAGTCATTTTTTGATGATTTTCCGCCATTTTTCGATCATTTTCAGCCATTTTAAGTCATTTTCAGCTATTTCCAGCCACTTTCCAACCATTTTTAGCAGTTTTCGGGCCATTTTTCGACCAATTTAGGCCATTTTTCGACCAATTTAGGCCATTTTACGACCATTTTAAGTCATTTTTTGATGATTTTCAGCGATTTTTCGGCCATTTTAGGCCATTTTCAAGTCATTTTCAGCTATTTCCAGCCATTTTCAGGCCATTTTTAGCAGTTTTTGGGCCATTTTTCGCCCAATTTAGGCCATTTTACGAGCATTTCAAGTCATTTTTTGGTGATTTTCAGCCATTTTTCGATCAGTTTTAGCCATTTTGAGTCAATTTTGGTCATTTTTCCACCAATTTAGGCCATTTTTCGACCGTTTTAGGCCATTTTCGACCATTTTAAAGCCATGTCTGGCTATTTTTTGACAATTTTGGGCCGTTTTTAAGTCATATGTGGTCATTTTCCAGCCATTTTGACCTATTTCTGGCCATTTTCAATTATTTTTCCGCCGTTTTAGGCTAATTTTCGATCATTTTCAGGCATTTTTAGGTCATTTGAAGCCATTTTTTGACCATTTTTCAGTCAATTTTGGTAAAAATTCATGATTTTTGCCGAATTTTTGACTGTTTTCGACCATTTCCAACCATTTTCCTTCCCAATTCTCTCCCCAAAAACGCACTATTCCTCTGTTCCTCCTTTCTCAAATCCTCATAAATCTCCTCAGTCAGTGTTCGTCGTTGTTGGTATTTCTTGAATCGAGACGCTGCTGATGACGTGGATTGCTGTTGCTTATCATTATCATTATCATTAACATCGTCGTCAACGTGTTCCTCGTGTCCCCGTTGCTTCGATTTTTGTCGTTTTACAAAGTTGTGGACCTCGTGATTTGATACTATAGCCGCGCGTAATGGTCCGGTCGCGTCCTTCAGATAACACCATTCTGGACCACCGTGCATTTCGATTTCCTGCAAAAAAATTGAGGTTTAGGACCGAAAAATCGGGGAAAGTTAGCCATTTTGAAGTGGTGGCCTAACTTTTGCAAGTTGAGTTTTCTAGGCCATCATGTCAAAATG